CTCTCCATGGAGAATGAAGTTGCTGTTGATTTTGGATAGATGCCCATTTATTATATTGAGGAATTTCCCTTGTATTTCTATTTTATTGAGAGTTTTTATCAGGAATTGGTGTTGGACTTTATCGAATGCCTCTTCTGTGTCGACTGAGATGATCACATGATTTCTTTCATTTTATTTATGTGGTGGATTACGTTGGTTGATTTTCTAATGTGGAACCATGCTTGCATACCTGGTATGAATCCTACTTGGTCGTGGCACATTATTTTTTTGATATGATGCTGAATTCTATTGGCTAGAATTTTGTTGAGAATTTTTGAATCTATATTCATAAGAGATATATCTGTAATTTTCTTTTTTTATGCTGACTTTGCCTGGTTTTGGAATCCGGGTTATGTTGGCTTCAAAGAATGAATTCAGAAGTATCGCTTCCTTTTCTATGTTCTGAAATAGTCTGAGTAGTACTGGTATAAGTGCTTTGCTGAATGTTTGGTAGACTTCTCCAGTGAAGCCAGCTGGGCCAGGACTTTTTTTGTTGGGATTTTCTTTTTTTTTCCTTTTCAATCTCTTCTCATGTTCTGGTCTGTTCAGATTTTCTACCTCAGTTTGTTAGTTTATGTAGGCACTGTATTTCAGAAATTTGTCCATTTCCTGTAGGTTTTCAAGTTCGTTGGAGTATAGTTTTTCATAATATTCTGTTATGATTCTTTTTATTTCAGTTGGGTCTGTTGTAATGTCCCCCATTTCATTTCTTATTAGGGTTATTTGCGTCCTCTCCTGTTTTTCTTTTGTCAGTTTGGCTGGTAGTTTGTCTATTTTGTTGATCCTTTCAAAGAACCAACTTTTGATTTTGTTGATACTTCCTATTGTTTTTCTATTCTCTATTTCACTTATTTCTGCTCTGATCTTTATTATTCCTTTCTTCTGGTGGCTGTGGGCTTCTTTTCTGTTCTCTTTCTATTTGTTTGAGTTGTGTAGTTAACATTTTGATTTTGTCCCTTTCCTCTTTTTTGATGTGTGCATCTATTGCTATAAATTGACTTCTGAGGACTACCTTTGCTGTGTCCCAGAGGGTTTGGTATGATGTATTTTCATTCTCATTTGATTCTAGGAATTTTCTGATTCCCTCTTTGATTTCTTCTATTACCAAGTGGTTTTTAAGCAAGGTGTTATTCAGTGTCCATGTTTTTTTTCCCTTGCTCTTCCTGTTATTAATTTCTACTTTTATGGCATTGTGATTAGAGAAGATGCTTTGTATTACCTCAATGTTTTGGATTTTGTTGAGGGTTACTTTGTGGCCTAAAATGTGGTCTATTCTGGACAATGTTCCATATGTGTTGAAAAAGAATGTATACTTTGCTGCTGTTGAGTGGAGTGTTCCATGTATGTCTCTGAGGTCAAGTGACTGATTGTGGCCTTCAGAGTTTCTGAATCTTCGTTGAGTTTCTTTCTAGGTGTTCTGTCTTTTACGAAAAGTGATGTGTTGAAGTCTCCTACTGCTATTGTGTAACTGTCAATTTCTCTTTTCAGTGTTGTTAGAGTTTCTTTATGTATGTGGAACCCTGTCACTGGATGTATAAACATTTATTATGGTTATGTCCTCATGGTGGATTGTCCCTTTAATCATTATATAATGTCCTTCCTTGTCTTTATGGTGGATTTTGTCTTAAAGTCTATTTTATCTGAGATTAGTATTGTCACTCCTGCTCTTTTTTGGTTGCTGTTTGCTTGACATATTTTTTTCCATCCTTTGATTTTTAATATATCTATGTCTTTGTTTCTAAGGTGTGTCTCTTGTAGACAGCATATTGATGGGTCCTGTTTTTTATCCATTCTGTCACTCTCTGTCTCTTTATGGGTGCATTTAAGCCATTTACATTCAGTGTGATTATCAATAGGCGTGAGTTTATTGCTGTCATTTTGTAGTTTGATTTTTTTTTGGTTTTCGTTTTTGTTTTGTGGTGCTGATATTTTATTTGCTCCTCTTACTCTCTGTGCTGAGTTCTTTTTGTTTGTGCATTTTCTTTTTGTTTTTGTAGATTTTGTGTTTACTGGGACTTCATATTGTTCTTCTTTATTTTGATGAGTAGGTTTGTTGACTTTCTTTGTGGTTACCTTGAAATTTACCTCTATCTTCCTTAAGTTTAAACCAGTATTTTACTACTTGATATCACCTTAATTTCCTCTCCATTTCAAAATTCTATACCTACACCATTTATTCCTCTTTTTATTGTTTGGACGTTGTTGTCATTTATAGATTATGTCTCTCATTCCCTGTTGTAAGTCTTTTAGTTTTGTTTCATCCTTCAGAGTTCATTACCTAGGTTGGTATCTGGCTTATGCTTTCTTGTGTCCTAGATTCAGGTTGCTATCTGATGTTGTTGGTTCTCTAATTATTAAAGGACTCCCTTTAATAATTCTTGTAAGTTTGGTTTGGTTTTTACATATTCCTTTAATTTATGTTTATCTGGAAATGTCCAAACTTTGCCATAATACTTGAGTAAGTTTTGCAGAATATATTATTCTTGGTTGACAGTTTTTTTCTTTCAAGGTATTATATATGTAATCCCATTGCCTTCTTTCCTGCATGGTTTCTGCTGAGTAATCAGAGCTTAGTCTTATTGTTTCCCCTTTGTATGTGAGTTTTCATTTTTCTTGAACTGCTCTCAGGATTCTTCGTCTTTGGTTTTAGCAAGTGTGATTATGATCTGTCTTAGTGATTTTCTTTTGGGGTCTATACTGTATGGGGTTCATGGAGCTTCTTGGATAGTCAGCTTTTCACCTTTCATGATATCAGGGGAGTTTTCTGTCAGCATATCTTCAGTGATCCTCTCTGTGTTTTCCATTTTTTCCCCCTGTTCTGGAACTCTGATCACATGAAAATTTTTGCTCTTGATTGTATCCCACATCGTTCTCAGGTTTTCTTCATTTTTCTTCATTCTTTTCTCTGATTTTTCCTCAAAGTGGTTATTTGTCTTCAATTTCACTGATCCTGTCTTCCATTGTTTCAGATTTGCTCCTAAAACCTACTATTGCATTGTCCATTTCTGAAATCTTGTTGTTTATAATTTGTATTTCTTATTGCTGTTTTTGTGTGATTTCTAATTGTTTATTTTGGCATTTTGTTCTTGTATTATTTTCCTGAATTCCTCCATTGCTTTAACTGTGTTTTCTCTAATTTTGTCTGTATTTTCCATGAATTTGTCTATTTTTCTCTTAGTTTTGTCTGTGTTTTCCTTCATCTCTTCCCTAATCTCTTGGAGAACTCTGAATATTAGACTTTTGAATTCCCTATTATGTAGTTCCAGTGCTTTTTCTTCTACTGGAAGGTCATCTGGTGTTTTATTTTGGTCACTTACTGGAGCCATCCTGTTCTGTCTTTTTATATGTTTTGATACTATCTGCTGTCTCTGAGACATTCAGGAATTATTTTCTTTGTTTATTGATTATAGGTTTGTTTGTTTTGTTCTGCTTTTCTGTTTTATTTGGTTATGTCTGGGCAGGTGAGTTGGGCGTGTTTTGTTGCATGCTTGTCTGTGGGCATGATAGTTCTCACCATCTTGTCCAGGTGGGCAGGGCCGCTGACTCAGCTATGGTGCAGCAGGGCGGTCCAGTGAGGCAGGAGGGGTAGGGATGGGTGGTTTACAGCACAAACTGAGGCTGGCAACGGGGGTCTGGGGGCAGCATGGTGGGGCAGGTTCTGGGGGTCTGGAGGTCTGCTTAGGTCCTGCTCAGGTGCACAGCACTCGGTAGAGCAGGGCCAGGGGGCAGCAGAGGTCCATGCCAGTGCCACTGGGAGGTGCAGTGCTCAGCAGGGTGGGGCCGAGGGCAGCACATGGCAGACCCAGGGGTCCAGACATCCATGCCAGTGCTGCTCGTGGGCCCGTCACTCAGTGGAGCAGGGCTGGGGGCAGCATTGGGCACAGTCCAGGGTCAGGAGGTCTGTGCAATTGTCACTTGGGGCACAGCACTTGGCACATGGTACAGAGAAGTAGAAGGGAAGGGAGAGAATGCGATGTGTGGAGCTAAGTGGGAGAGAGAAATAAAAGAAACAGAAGGAAAAAAATGAAGAAAAATAAGTAAATAAAATGGCAGCACAGTGGGAGTCAGCAGGTGTGGGTGGGGCAGACCCAAGGAGGCCATGTGCCTGTGGTTCTCTACCCAAGTGGTGCAGCACAGCCCTTCATGAAGGGGTAAGGGCAGCGCATGGGGAAAGGAAGGAAGAGAAAGATAGAGAAGAAACAAAAACAAATGAACAAAAAATACAGCACTGAGGGAACCAGCCATTGGGGGTAGGGTAGAACCAGGGTGGTGGCAAACTAGAGGCCTCTTGCCGGGCGGTGCGGCACAGACCATCAGGAAGGGGTGGAGGCAGTGCAGGGCCAGGTGCTCTGTCTCCTGTTGGGAGCTCTGTGAAGTTGCCTTCCCATACTCCATGTCCAGAGTCATCGGTGTCTGTGCTCCAAGATGGGAAATCCGTGCCATGTTAGCTGGCAGGGGACCTCCACTTCGTAGCTCTACTTGTTCTCTGTTCTGTGTCCATTTCTTCTTCCATTCAGTGCTTGATCTAGTTCCTTATCCCTTCATTTGATATTTAGGATTCCAAGACTGATGTTTGTACCTGTTTTACTTAGTTTTTTGGGTCTTTACTGCAGAGGATGGCATGGTGCTTCTGTCTATAGTACCATGTTGGCTCTGTTTCCTCATACTTTTGATATTATGAAGTAGATTCTGATAAATAAAGATGTATATTGTAACCCCTTGAGCAACGAGTAAGAAAATAACTTGAAAGATATAGCTAAAAAAAATAATCATTTGAGTAAAAAGCAATCCCCTACTGTGCCCATCCTCACTTCAGCATGATTCATAATCTTGCAATTGTCCTTGAAAGGCTGGCATTATGTACAGTAACTAAAGGGAAGAAAAGGGTGCATGACTACCCTTGGAAGAACTTTCCAAGGATGGTTTGTGCTATATCAATAAATAATCCACCCAGCACTTACCCATCTTCTTGATGTACCAGTTCTTGCCACCTTGAGACCCATTCCAGTAGAGTGCTCCCACTGAGCTCACCAAGGCCATGACCAGGAGGATACCAAACAACACCAGGATCTGCACATTGGTCACCTTCTCAACATTTGATCTCTTCAGTGGTGCTTTGGTTGAATTCTGTACAAGAACATTTAAAGTCAATAAGGGGCAAGGAACAGATTTGGGGACAAGGGGTGAGGGCAAAAAGAGGTAAGACAACCAAATTGAACAACTGTTAGGTAAAAGACAATATTCTTTACTAAATGACCAATGAAATTTTAAAAAAGTATGCTATGCTCTTGAATCAACAGCTAGCTTTAAATAAGGAAGACAGAAGGCACGCTCTGTTAGTTTAAAGAACACATTCCACTCTCCATGATTCATCTGTATTACTGATAATCATATCTTCTGATAAAATTAGCCACCTTCATTGCCTTAGAACACAACAGCTTCTAAATAATTTAAGTCCAATTTGAAAGAAATCAGGATATTGCTAAATCAAGAGAAACTTAGAGATTCAATACCATAAGAATTTAGAGAGAACCATCTATGTAAAAACATAGCTCTACAATAAACCTATAAAGATAAAAATTAGTAGCTATTTCCCTCCAGTGGCTCAAAATTTAATTGAGGAAAAAAAAGACACACACAAACACACATCAATAATGCAAAACAGAACATCAACAGGTGTCAAAATAAACGGGTGGACAAAAAGTTCATTTGGAGAACTTGAACAAGAAATGAGCAGGAAAAGTCAGGAAAGGCCTAGTGAACCAGAGAAACTTAAACAACATCCTGAATCATAAACATAAGGTAGATAGAAAGATTAAAACATAGGGCGAAAGGCAAGTTAGAAAGGCCGCCTTACCACAGGTTTAGTGTCCATAAACCTGCTGTCTCCCTGAGGGTGAGGAGAGTGGGGATGGGGGTGCGGGAGGCAAGACGATCCTGGCTAGAGCCAGACCAGTGTGGGAAATCAAGGTCAAGGTCAGACAGATTCAATAAGACCAGGTTCAGTGATGACTGCACATCAGGTTGAAAATGTGGGACTGTATCTTCTCAGCAGTGGAAAAGTCAATAGAACTGTTTGAATAAGACAGTGATACACCAGTAGTCATTTTATCAAAAAATTACTGAAGGTAGTTGTACTAGGCAGAATAATGCTCCCCCTAGAAATGCCCATATCCTAATCCCTGGACCTTGTGAATATGTTACCTTACACAGCAAAAGAGATTTTGCAGATGTGATTAATTTAAGGATTTTACGATGGGAAATTATCCTGGATTATACAAATAAACAACCGACCAACCAAACAAACAAGAAACAGTTGCTGTAGAGTCGATTCTGACTCATGGGGACCTCATGGATGTCAGAGTAGACCTATGCACCAGAAGGTTTTCAATGGCTCTGACCTTTCAGAAGTAGACTGCCAAGTCTTTCTTCCGAGGTATCGCTGGGTGAATTCTAACCATCAACCTTTCAGTTAATAGCTGAGCGTTTCACTTTTTTGCACAACACAGAGACTAATTTTATTATGTGCATACTTAAAAGCAGAAAACGCAGAGAAGTTTTCTTGACTGTGGTCAGAGGGAGACGTGACTACAGAAGAATGGTCAAAGAGATGCAGTGTTGCTGGATTTGAAGCTGGAGGAAGGGGACCATAAGCCAAGGAATGCAGGCAGCCTTTAGACTCTGGGAAAGGCAAGGAAATGGATTCTCCCCTAGAGCCTCCAGAAAGGAACGCAGCCCTGCCAGTGTCTTGATTTTAGCCCAGTGAGACCTGGGCTGGACAGTTCTATCCTACAATGGAAAACTAATACCATGGTATTGCAGATGGTTGAAGAAGATGCTGAGGAGAGAAACACCAGAGGAATTCATGACAGCAATCCTTTCTTGGAGGTGAGCCAGTGGCTGGATTAAACCAGATGCCAGGAAACAGACAGGAAGAAATGGGCACACAAAACTTCAAGGCACAGGGCTCTTTCCATGAGTTAGGAACTCTACCTTTTTAGATCAGATGATTTAAAAATTTGTAAGGCACTGTTGTTGTGGTGTGTCACTGAGTGGCTTCTGACTCACAGCCACCCTATATGACAGAGTAGCACTGCCACATACAGTTTTCTGGGCTGTAATTTTTACAGAAGCAAATCGCTAGGTCTTTCTCCTGCAGAGCCACTGGTGGGTTCAACCCTTCGGTTAGCAACTGAACGCTTAACCATTGCCCCACCAGGGCTCCTTGTAAGACACTACCCATTGCTGTCGAGTTGATTTGGACTCGCAGTGACCCTACAGGACTGAGTAGAACCACCCCAGAGGGTTTCCAAGGCTGTAATCTTCACAAAAGCAGACTGCCACATCTTTCTCCCATGGAGCAGCTGGTGGGTTTGAACCACTGACCCACTGGTTTGTAGCTGAGCACTTAACCACTGCACCACCAGGGCTCCTAAAATGGTACCTTTCATCAAACTTAAGTCAGCACTCTCATTCACCATTTTCAATTTATCTGATCATTAAAAGAGCTAGGATGAAAATGTCTCCATAAACAAGAATACAAATTAAGCCACAATATGAAAATAAAACAGATGAAGCTAGGAGACAGAATTCATTCTAAGCTTCATAAAGGAAGCTCATACCCAATGCTGCTGCAATTGCTATCTGAATTGCACTGCAAAATGCAGAAATCCTTTGCCATAGTTTTCTTTGAGGGAGTTGGAGGATTGCTACACTTCAGTTTTTGCGTGAGGAGCCCTGGTGGTACAATGGTTAAGTACTCAGCTGCTAACCAAAAGGTCAGCGGTTTGAAACCACCAGTGGCTTCGTGCAAGAAAAGACCTGGCAATCTGCTCCCTTAGAGATTTCAGCCTAGAAAATCTTATGCGGCAGTGCTATGCTGTCCTATAAGGTTGCTATGAGTCAGAATCAACTTGATGGCACACAACAACACCACAGTTTCTGAGTGGGCAAAAAAAAATCTACCTTAAAATCTCATTTCTATGACTCCATCAGTTTATTGACTTCTGGCCTTTTCCAATGGTTGAATTCTGGCCAGTTAACAGGTTAGGAAAAGTTACCTTTCACTCAAGTCTGGTAAGATAAACTCACTCTTTACCAAACAACCTCAAAACGTCGGGCTTCAACATGCACACTTTGTGGAAGCCCAACCTTTTCTTACTCACACCTATCTCCTGTACATTTCTACTTGCAGTGATGAGCTTCTAATGTTAAATTCCTACTCGCATTACAAGTTCTTCTAGAAAATTCTTAAAGAACACTGCTACTTCTGTGCAATATAGTTCTAAACAAAACAGGCCAAACTGTCAGGTTTTCAAAAAGCTTAAAAGTGACCCAGAATTTTACATGTTTTATTCCCTCCTAAAAAAACAGACAACACAGTACCAGCCAAGAACAGGGACTCTGGAGCCAGACCGCCTGGGTTTGAACCCCAGCTCTATCTCCTAATACACGTGAAACCTCAGGTAACTACTCAGATGTGCTTTGTCTCAGTTTCCTCACCGATAAAATGGGAAAAGTAATACTTTCCTCAGATGGTCATTGTGAGGAATAAATGAGTTAATATGTGTAAATCATGTAGAACAGTGCATGGCACTCACTGTTTGCTACAATCAATATGATGCTACCTGTTTGCAATTAAGTCAACCATCTGAAATAGAAGATATTGAAAATGTTCTTAAGCATCACTACATTAAGCATCAAATAAGAGAACTCTGAAGAGTAGATGCCATTGACGTAAGAGTTAAACATATCTACATATACATGAAGCAATTGTGTTTGCTGTCTGTGGTAAAGGAGCACACGTACAGACAAAAAGTGTTGTTTCACAAACAGGATGGTTTCCAGCTATGTGTGTTAGATGTCATTTCCTCTGAAGTCTTGTTATTTTTACTTGTTGTTTCATCCCTAAAGGCACGGTGAATCCAGCACAGATGTTTCTGGGCTTTTCATTATTCTGCACTCAAACGATCAATGGGTAATAAGCCTCATAAAGAAGATTACTACATCTACATGCAAGGAGATGTGCCTATCACAACCACAGGAGGCAAACGTAATGAAGTAACTTAGTGCACACGCCGCACACCCAAGAGATAATGGGATTATGTTTTCAGTGTAATTGAATTAACTTTTATACCTTAGCTACAAAGCTATATGACCAATGTATAATTTAGAAAAGAGAAGTCCCTCAGTGGTACAAATGGTTAACATGCTCAGCTACCAACCAAAAGGTTGGAGGCTCGAGTCCACCCACAGGTGACTCAAAAGAAAAGCCTGGAGATCTACTTGCAAAAAAATCAGTCACTGAAAAACCTGTGGAGCCCAGTTCTACTCTGACATACGTGGGGTCACTATGACTTGGAGTCAACTCTACAGCAACTGTTTTTGTTTTTTAATCTAGAAAAACAATTGCATACACTGAATAAAACACCCAGTGTGCAAGGAGTCTTGGAGAGTGGTTAAATTTGTAACATGCACAATCTGAAAACTAGCCTTGGCACCCTGTCCAAATTTACGTCGCTTATGGTCTCTTTGTCACTTCATCATACAAAACAAAAGCAGTGATTTGTGGTTAGTGGAGCTCCAACAGTATTAAATATTGGCTACTGCCACTGAATGTACCATATTGAATATACTATGGATTGCCAAAAGAATGAATAAATCTGTCTTGGAAGAAGTACAGCCAGAATGCTCCTTAGAAGCAAGGATGGTGAGACTACATCCCACATACTTTGGCCATGTTATCAAGAGGGATCAGTCCCTGGAGAAGGACATCATGCTTGGTAAGGCAAAGGGTCAGTGAAAAAGAGGAAGATCCTCAATGAGATGGATTGACACAGTGACTACAACAATGGACTCAAGCCTAACAATGATTGTGAGGATAGCGCAGAACCAGGCAGTGTTTTGTTCTGTTGTACATAGGGTCTCTATAAGCTGGAACTGACTCGATGGCACCTAACCACAACAGTAACACTGCCACTGGACTGGGCAAGTCTAAGGATGCTTATTAGGGTCAGAACACAGAACTATTCATCAAGATAAAGTTTGCATAAACAGGCTGCTCAGAACAAATAAGCTCTAAACACTCAAGTCTACACTTGTGAATGGTGACGACCTAGCAGAAGGGAGAGACTAGGCACACCTCGGAGAGGCTAAATATGTTATCCTAAGTAAACCAGGTGGTGACCATTTCTTACTGCCCTGGACTCCCCACACACCCCATCTGCAACCATCCTACTGTGCCCATGGCCTTATTATGTCCTCCCCCCTTAATGGGCTCCTCCTGCTCCTTGCTGCACTCAGCCTAGGATGCCCCTTCCCTCCCTTACTGAACAGAGGGTGCTCAGGGAGAATTACATGCCTTGAAGTCTGAAGGTAGTATTACTCAATATATATTCAGGACCAGGTAATACTTCTGAAGCTTTATTCTTCTAATGTCGTATTCAAAAACTCACTCTTAAAATTCATGTCATCTGATTACATTACATTTTGCCCCCACCCCCAGCAAGTGCACCAACCTCTCTGCCACGACCCCTCACTCACTGAAGACTTGAGCATTTACCTCATGCTGTTCCTCTCTACCCCAGTCTTGTTATTATCCACAAAAAAGCCTTCAAAATCCACAGCATTGATATACCAAATTCCTTGGTCTCTCAGTTCTTTACTTCCAACTTTGAATGACCTTCAACAGCTCTCTAGCTTTAGCTTCCGACTCCACAGTTCACTCCCAGGTCTCATCATCTACAAGCCCTCCACCACAGAAACTCAAAGACAAGCATCCTACATTCTGATCAACCTCTCACTCAAGAACTCCAACACTCTTACTTCGATGAGTCTCTCAACCCTTCTAGTCCTCCCGATCTCCCTTATCTTCACAGCATTTCCTTATTGGTACAGTGGTTAATCACTGGGCTGCTAACCAAAAGGTCAGTGGTTTGAATTCACCAGCCACTCTGTGGGAAAAAGATGTAGCAGTCTGCTCCAGTAACAATTACAGCCCTGGAAACCCTATGGAGCAGTTCTATTCTGCCACACACGAGGTCGCCATGAGTCGGAATGACTCCATGACAACTGGTAAGTAGCCCGGGTGATGCAGTGGTTCAGCACTCAGCTGCTAACTGAAAAGTAGGCAGTTTGAACTCACCAGCTGCTCCACAGGAGAAAGATCTGGCAGTCTGTTTCTATAAAGAAGCCTTAGAAGCCCTATGGGGCAGTTCTACTCTGTCCTGTAGGGTCTCTATGAGTCGGAATCAACTCGATGGCAAGGGATTTGGGTTTTTGGTGGACACTATGGTCTATCATTTCATCTGTTCTAATAAATATTTAAGTGTCTCATCTTACTATCATTTGACTTCAAAAGGAAACATCCCAAACATACATCAACACAACAGTCTCCCTTCTCCAGCTCTACATCTAAAACATGCTACCGCCCTGGGATCATTCTTTATATCTAGTCAACTGGCCCCTCCAAAGCTGGGCTGGATGGCTCTTTGGTATCCACCCATAGGACTCTGTAAAGATCTATATTACAAGTAAATCTCTACTTCATAATTCCTTATTACCTTCTTAGTCTGTCTTCCAGAGAGCAAGACTGGGTTCCTTTCAGTATTATATCCATACAGCCTAGCACAGGATTTGATGCACAATGGTCACTAAATATATTTTATTAATAATTATAGCCAAATATGTGCTTTAGAAGTTATGCAAAAGGGAAAACAAGCTGAAAAGCCAACTCTCATTAACAGTAACCATTAGCAGTTCCTAGTCCAAAATTAAATGCTGATGATACCAAAGAAATGTAAAAAATGACACATAGGGAAACTGATTTACATAGAATTTCAAAAGCTGTCAAAATACACCAAAAGATAATTGTGCGCTGTAAATTATATTTTGTGTTACATATTATAATGTTATATATATTATATATAATGTAATACATAATACTATATATAACATTATATATGTTACATAACACATATAAGTTTTATAATGTTATATATATTTCTCATAAATAAGAAATATTAGCAAGGAGAATGAGCAAAATTGTTTTTACTTAATATTATTTCTTTGGCCTATAAAGAATAAACATTAATTCAAAAATAATTCATTTTAGATTCCTAGAATTCAATGAAATAAGACAAGTTAGTGCCAAACCAAAATTAATGAGGTGAGAAGGAAAAGTAGAGAATAATATTTATAACCAACCCCTTTCAAGCCCAGAAGAAAAAAAAGTTAGAACTGATTATTTCCCTAAATCCAGAAGATGAAGACTATTGGTATTTCAGGCCATATGCAACAAATATCCAAAAAGATAACAGAAATCCAGAAAAAACTACTTAAGAATAGAAAATAAAGGCACTTCCAAAGATTAGACAGGCCCCTAAAACAAAAAGATACTGAAGGGGCACACTAGCCCAGGGGCAAGGACTAGAAGGCAGCAGGGGCAGGAAAGCCGGTAATAGGGAACCCAAGGTCAAGAAGGGAGAGCGTTGACATGTTGTGGCATTGTTAACCAATGTCATAAAACAATATGTGTACTAACTGTTTAATGAGAAGCTAGCTTGTTCTGTAAACCTTCATCTAATGTACAATTAAAAAAAATAAAATAAAGGCACTTCCTTTCCAAATTTATGTTCATAAAAAATTTGCATTTCCTAGATATAACACTTGCATTTTCCACCCTCTCGTAATAAGAACAGGTGAAAAAACAAAACAAACAAAAACCACTATAATCAGTATTGCTTTTCAGCATAGAAACGTTTTACCTGCATGAGTTTGGTGTCGTGTCCAGTATAAACAACTATGCCAAAGACCCACTGAGTATTTCTAAGCTGTGTACCTCTTAATAAGATCTGGTCAGGCCCAAGGGCAACAGGGCTAAAAATAAGAAACAACATTTATATTTAATGAAAGTCTGGCAAATAAGAATAAGCTTCCCCCTTAAACATAAACTCACAATAAATCCAATACTTCCTTCAGCCAAATTTGAACTACTTCACTGAGACACAAGGGGCAATCAAGGTTAACTTTGGATTAAAAAGAAACAAAAAACGCACAAAAAAAGTTTCTTCTCCATTTCTCACTACAGGAAATGTTGGGGTCTTTTTTTTTTCTTTCAGCTTTTTTTTTTGGTTTTTGTATTTTATAAAATGTTAGCAGGAACTGTGTCTCTTATAGTCCTGTTGTAAAACTCAAGACCCAGCAAGGAGGATATTTGCTAAAACAACAACCAAAAACTTACCCATTTGGGAAACCCAGTTTATTTTACACATTATAAACAGGAAAAAAAGGGGTGATAAGCCTATAATATCAAATTGTCAAGGATGACAATGATTAAGTAAAAACTTAAATGATAATTTAGAAATTAAAAATGGGGAGCCTATAGAATGGCTATACATAGTAAATGAAAATCAAGAAAGTAATCCCACTCATAGTTGTCAAATTTATCTCGGTAGGATCCCCAGGACCAGGTCCTTCCCAGCCCACCAGCCTGTGGGGGGCACTGGTAAGAGGCACGCAAATAAAAGACGGGCAGAAGATAGGAAACCACATCCCAACATAATGACAAGAGACGGCTCTCAAACAATAAATGAATACCCAGAGGACAAAGACAACAGGATACAGACAACAGGCACTGAATATTCTAAATGAAGGGTAACTATTTTTCCTTTCATTCAACTTCCCAAAAACAGACAAATGCTACTTGCAAGAAGGCTGGCAAAAAAATCAGACATTCCTCTACTAAGTTTGTTAGCTCGCATACACCTCAGAAACCTCTCTTTCACTTCTGTGGACAACGCCTTCTCTCGGCCCTGGCTGGAAACACACACAGAAAGAACAGGCCACATGCTTTGAACCTCAGGTAAGGTTCGCAGGTTCTCTTCTCTCAAAAATCAGGAGTTCTTTCCTTACATTTAAGGGAAGATTTAAATTGAAATGGTGTTTCAAAAAAAGGTCAGGTTCTCATATCTAAGCTAAACATGAACAAATCTCACTGCTTTAAAATGTTCTGGAACTAGAAAACAACATTTTATTTTCTAAAATCCAGTATTTCCTAGTCACATTAGGTAGAAAAAAAGGAAAAGTGATACCTCTTCCCATCTAAGTGAAGGTTTCCAGTGAAGTCATAGAGGTGGCGATTGGGCCCCTCGCATTCTATGATCCCAGACAGCTTCATCAACACCTCCCTTGTCTGCATGTCAGCGGTGTGGCTCAAACCCTAAAATGTTTAATCAAAAGAGAAAACTGAAAACAACCTTCAGTGCTTGGGGGACAATGTTCAGCATTCCAATTGTTAATCAAAAAATAAGAAGAAAGAAATAATCTTCTAAACTGGAAAACAAATTAAACTATCAGGCTCTGAAGATACAATTTACCAGCAGATTTTGCCACAGCAATCTAATGTAAAATTTTCAAAATAATTCAGAGAGGCAGAAAATTAAGATTCCATCATTGCTGGAAAGATCCACGTTTAAGTAATAATTACCATACTCAAATATCTTGCCAGTAACATTATCTATTAGCTGTACTCTAACACTGGTCAGAAAAATAGACTCAGGTACCCCTTTAATACTTTACTACATCTTATACTTGGTAACTCTTCTTTAGAGAAAAAAAAGAAAGATATGTTGACAGAATTATCAAATTCAACTTGATGTGACAAAAATATACATACACATATATCCTTAAATGTCAAAATGCTGAAATTTTTTCAATACATTAAAGACTATTCTTTATTCTCAAATTAAATCACATGGAAGGAATAGCTTTATTTCAGCATGAAAATTTGTATCTAACTTACTCCTCTCTAGAATTAAAATACAAATGAAAAACAATGTAAGGTAAGGTGCCCAAAGCGTGTCTAATTCTCCTCTCCACTATAGATCCTGCCCTTTCCTCACCACCCAGCTCAACTTGCTCATAACTGAGCAAGCACAGAGGTCACTGAGATACAAATCAAGATGTGATGCCCTTTGTGACCTATAGTTTGATGAGCCCATTCTTTGCAGCTCCAACGTCCTCTCAGCTAGTTCTCTTCATCATAACAGGCACATTTTTCCCATAGATCCCATTAAGGTTAAAGCATAACCTTTAGCCGTAGCACATCTTTCTCAAGAAAAAAGACTGATTGGTACATGTGGGGTCCAAATCTGGAATCTGGCCTCCGCAACAACACTAAACATAACAAGTTGATTTTACCTGACGTATTTTAAGGTTTGTCTCCCCATCCAGATTAGCTGTTTCGACATAACACATTGCCTGTGGTTCACTAAAGAGAGAGAGGGAAAAAAATAAAAGAAAGTCAAAGTTTAATAAGAACATCTCTACAAAATTCACATCTCATAAAGTCGCCATTATGGAAACTAAGTCTGTTGATGGGCGAGCCCTTCAAAAAAAAAAATTGCTATATACAATAACTTTAGTAAGAAAGTGACTGATTAAAAAGGTAGACAAATACTCAGCTTTAGGACTCAACACCAACACGAAGGTGTTTGCCCAGATGATCCAATCTTACCCTAGTGCCTACAGGGATGGGGGGCTACTAGACCTCAAGGTGGCAGAAGTAATTGTGGATGAATGGGAAGGGGCATGCTCTCTGAAACACATGATGTTCCAGCTAAAGCCCAACTGTTGGGTTCGAGGTGATCCCTAAAATCTGAGGCTCAGCCTGCTTTCAAGGGCAACTCCTAACCAAAAGACATGCCCTAGACAAGCAGTACAGTCACATCTTTTAAAGCAAATTTCAGTCAGATAAGTTAAGGGATCAGGGCATAGGTTAAACAAGCACTTGCTGCACTACATTTTTTATTATGTTAAAAGGCAACTTTTTAATCAAAACACCTAATTTTGAGGATAGAAAACTCTAAGAATAAAAATAACCATAGCAGATATTGCACTTGTACTTCTAATGTTTGGGTACAGGTAGCATACTTAGTGGTTGAGAGAATGGATTCCCCAATCACAGTGGCTACAGCAAAATCCCCCAGCTCTACCTTTATCGGCTACTTGGCCTTGGCAACTCATTTAATCTCTCTGTGCCTTGGTTTCCTCATGTATAAAGTAAGAACATCAAGAGCTGCTGGGAAGATCAAATAGGACAATGTACTCAGCATGAAAATATTTGTAACGAGCATTCTGAAAACATGATGGCTATTCAGACAAAACAATCCTATGCTAAAACCAAGTTTTCTGATGGTCATAGCCGAGAGTCATACCCCAAACTATCAGGTGACCAATATTTTAATAAAATTTTGTTGTGCTTTCAGAGAAGGTTAGATAGCAGTTTACGTTCCCATTCAACAATTTCTACACAAGTTGTTCAGTGACATTGGTTACATTCTTCACAATGTGTGAACATTCTCATTATTTCCATTCTGGTTGTTCTGTTTCCATTAATCTAGTTTTCCTGTCTCCTGACATTCTCATTTTTGTTTTAAAGTAGTTGTTGACCATTTGGTCTCACATAGGTGATTTTTTTTTCAGTCACCTCATCTGCAGGCAAAAGCTGGAGAATGAATAAGGAAGACCAAAGAAAAATTGATGCATTTGAATTATGGTGCTGGTGGAGAAAACTGAGTATACTATGGACTGCCGAAAGAACGAATAAATCTGTCTTGGAAGAAGTACAGCCAGATTGCTCCTTAGAAGCAATGATGATGGTGAAACTTTGTCTCATGTACTTTGAACATGTTATCAGGAGGGACCAGTCTCTGGAGAAGGACATCATGCTTGGTAAAGTAGAGGGTCAGTGAAAAAGAGGAAGGCCCTCAATGAGATGGACTGACACAGTGGCTGCAACAGTGGGCTCAAACATAGCAACGATTGTTTGAGGATGGCGCAGGACCAGGCAGTGTTTCCTTCTGTTGTATGTAGGGTCACTGTGAGTCCGAGCCAACTTGACAGCACCTAACAACAACAGGTGATGTTTTAAAGGAGCACAGTACTTATGGGTGACATTAATTATTTTGTCAGCCAATTTGTTATTTAGCTACAAGGTGACCTCAGGGGTTAGTTTCAGTTCAAGATTTGAAGAATATCTCAGTATAATAGTCTCAGGCTGTCCTCCAGTCTCACCAGTCCAGTAGGTCTGGATTTTTTGTTTGTTTTTTTGTTGTTGTTTTAGGAATTTAAGGTTCTGTTCCACATTTTTCTCTCATTCTGTCAGGATCCATCTCTTGTGTACCTGATGAGAACAGTTGGTAGTGGTAGGGGCACCATCTAGCTCTTCAGGTCTCAGGGTAGATGAGGTCGTGGTAATATTTTAATATTTTTAAGAAAAGATTCTTTGTTACTGATCACTAGGAACAAACGTGAATCCTGCCTGGGGTTTTCATGGTGCTTTGCCCCCTCTATAGGCCTGAGTTTCGATTTTTAAATCTTTCATCACAAGCAGAAAATTAAAGCTAAGGCTTAAAATCTAGTGAATGCTCAAATCCAACATAAGAAACGCTGTCTGCAATCAAAGAAAATACTAACACCATGAGTATCCATGATTCTCAACGGCACATAACTATGGGAAGCTATAGTCTTAATATATAATTTAATCTTGAACTCGAGTAGAAGTTTATTCATATTCTAATTTTGGCTTTCTATCTTTGATGTATACTTTATGTTTCAAGCTACCCCTAAGGAGAAGTCAAGGACTGCGTTGTTCGTTACATGATAATACCTTTCTAAAACAAAACTATCCAGAGAATGTGGAAGTGATACTTGGGTAGAGAAGGGGCAACATGTGGACTAATGAAGAGGTAACACAGTCCACAGGTCACACCTGCTCTGAGAAAACGTCTGAGGTTCTCTGAACAGTTGGTTACAGGAGGCACTGAGTTCCAAAGGAAAGACTGCTGGCTGGACCACCAAGAAACATGACTGCAGTACGGGCTTTGCTATAACCTCGATGTTACTGAACATATCACTCAACTGATCTTGAATTAGTTTCCTTATAAATGAGGAATACCACCAGAAGAGCCATAAGACTGAAATGAGTCAAAAGAACGAATGGGAGAAAGTCAACCAAAGGGTAAGGCAGGAAAACACAAATGGAAGAATAGGATGGGGAAAGAAGGATGGTGACTCAGAGGATATAAGGGAAAAGGCAGCTTGAGATAGTATTCAGTTGTCATGTAACGCTTTATGGTTCTTAACATCTATTTGAAAATGGTGCCCCCTGGAACACCTGACCTGGAGGATAGTAGGACCATGTCTGCCGGAAGATACTGCCCATTGACGGCCTTCACAATGTCTCCCACTGCCACCTACAGAATCAGAGACAAGGACAGAGATGCATGAGAAAAAGAAAACAAGTGGGGATACCAGTATCAGTTACCGTCGAGTCGACTCTGACTCTTGGCGACCCCATGTGTGTCAGAGTAAAACTGGGCTCCATAGGTTTTTCACCAGATGATTTTTTGGAAGTAGATTGCCAGGACTTTCTTCCAAGGTGCCTCTGGGTGGGCTCAAACCTCCAACCTTTCAGTTTATGACTGAGTGTATCAACCGTCTGCAACACCCAGGGACTACAAAATGGAGATGCAGGTGGTTTAAATATTTGAAGAAAAAATTACTATGTTACTTAGCCACAAAGTTTAAGCTAGAGAAGTCCAAATTATTCTCGAGAAGAACAAAAGGGAAATGCTTCAATATAGGCAATTGGTTGCTTTCCGCAATAATGCTTAATGAAAAAGAAAAAAATGGGGGACAGGGAGAGAAGGAATGAGTCAAACCAACCATCAAGATCTCATTTCCTCACAGTTCACTTACAAATACTGAAACATATCTACAGCAGCATGCAGCTGGGCAGTGTGGTAAAACTCATGTGAAATTGTGCACTACAGATTAGTAAGAAAACACAAATAAATCCATGCGTTCCTTACTGACTGTAAGCCCATGCATAGTTTGTTTACTGGTTAATCTACCCCTGCATTGAACAGAAGGTTCCAATGCAGGAAAACAGGCTTTAGTCTCTAAACCATGAGCACGATAGCCAGGTATCTATAAACGTTTTCAGTAACAACACAGAAGTGTTGTTGCGTGGTGTAGAACCACCTTTGCAGTAAGCAATTTCACCATTGGTCCTGGTTCTTTGACAGCTGGACCCCACTGAAGCCAATGAGTAGGGCTAGACCAGCCCAAGTGGGATCACTTGGAAGCCTGATACTGCCTGAACCATAGGAGGTATGATGTCATCTATCATGGGCACGTCATGAGGCTGAAAAAGGCCGTGGACGACAAAGGCTCAGGAGCTTCTTGGGTGATGAGAGTGAACATCTGCTCTCAAGAGGGTAGGCATGTTCCCTAGGGACGTGGACGTTCTGCACCAAGATCCCTCCTGGACCCCACCCTATGTATTTGTATCTTTTTTCCTCCTAGACTAAAGACAGCTCTTTCCCTGGAGTGTGTGAGTTGTTACAATAGATTACTGGACCTAACAGATGGGGCGGGTGCACCCAGAACTAGCCCAGGTCAATGGGGACTAGAGAGAGAAGGGATCAGTACCTGCTGACCTGGCCCCAGGTGAATGGAGATGAGAAACAGAGGGGACATTACCCACTGACTTGGCCCTGGGTGAATGGGGATAAGAGAGAGAAGGGGTGGGTACCCACTGACCTGGCTCCAGGTAAAGGGGGATGAGAGAAAGAAGGAGCCAGTACCCACTAACCTAGCCCCAGGTGAATAGGGATGGGAAAGAGAACGAGTGGGTACCCACTGACCTAGCACCAGGTGAATGGGGATGAGAGAGAGAGGGGGCCATGCTGGCAGCTACGGTCTAAACTGACCAGAGGAGGAAAGCTGAAATTTCCGCAGGACGTAGCTGGCATGTGGAATAGGATTTATCATCCACCACACATTTGGCATCAGAGGTGGATGATCTCAGCCTCCCTGGACTGGTTTGGTGCAACTGGCAATGAAGGTAGGATCTGCTTGAGCAGTCCTGACATCTCAGCCGTGTTGGACAGAATATGGACTTTCAAGTCAGGGAGGCCTAGGTCAAGTTCCAGCTTCACAAACATGACCGTGAACATAGAAAGTGTCTTAACCTCAGAGCTTCAGTCTCCTCACTTAAAAATGGCAAAAATAGTGCCACTGGCCTTGCAAGGCTACTGCAGTGATTAAAGCACCCTACAAGAAACAGGTGTGTGTTGGTGTCAGTCACTAACAGCATGAATGTAACTAAATGGACACTACCAGGAAAACCAGTTGCCATGGAGTCAACTCCAACACATGGCAACCCCATATATGTCAAAGAAGAACCGTGCCCCATAAGGTCTTCAATGGCTGAGTTTTTGGAAGGACTTTCTTCTGAGGTGCCTCTTGGTGGACTGAAACCTTCAACCTTTTGGTTAACAGCCAGGCACATCAAATTAATCACTTACTCCCCCGCAGGGACTCATAAATGGACACTATAAATGTGAACATCAGGAGTATTAGAATTCTCTGATGACACAAGAAGAAAGGTCATTTCTACCTCATAAGTAATTTCAAAACAATCTTAAAATGGACACACGCTTTTTGTTTTCTATTCTAACCCACGTTACTATTCTCTTATAATCAACAATTTCAAATGATGCAAATACTCATGTAAAATGACTGGATCTTAGAAGTTAGGAGAATGACCCTTAGCAGATGTCCATGTTTAATTCTCCGTTGGGAGAAAGGAAGTGTCTCAGAAGTGCTTCAAGTTGCTTGTCAAAGTGTCGGGGGAAGGCTAAGTAATCTGGGTCAACTAGAGAAAACCAAACCAAACCCATTGCCGTCAAGTTGGCTCTAACTCTTAGAGCCCCCATAGGACTGAGCAGAACTGCTCCCATAGGGCTTCCAAAGCTGTAAATCTTTATGGAAGCAGACTGCCACATCTTTCCCCCCAAGGAGCAGCTGGTGGGTTCGAAATGCTAACTTTTGCATTAGCAGCTGAGCTCTTAACCACTGTGCCACCAGAGCTCCTTAACACAGAGAAGGATAGTAAAAATTAAATTCTAGGCTCACTGTGCATTTGTAGCTAGAATCCAGTTTAACAGCAAAGGGGAAGCATTTAATTCAAGTACATTCCATTAAAAAGAGGACAGATATCCCTTCATAAAGAACAGATACTACATAGTTATTTTAATGGCCATCAGTACGAAAGCAAGGAATACCAATGTAACCTGGAAATGTTTTTTAAAAGTAAATATATTTCATATAAATAGTTTAATTACACAGAAAAATATCACAAGCGATAATTAGTAAAAACCACTCAGAAGGAAAAGGAGCCATATTTTCAAAAAATAAAAGGCGGTGGATTTATTTTGTTTTTAATTCAAAGTGGGAGGATAAGGGAAATTATGACTTTCTCCCACCTTTACTTTAAAAATAAAGAAATAGTCATATTCCAGTAACGAAGTACAAAGAAGTTTCACACATTTGAGAAACAATTACTTGGGATTTTGTTTGAAAATAGTTTTTTATTTTATGTTCTTACACATGATTGCACCTTGAGTGTCTAACCAGCTGCTGTGGAACTGATTCCAACTCACGGCAACCCCATGTGTGTCAGAGTAGAACTGTGTTCCACAGGGTTTTCGATGGCTGATTTTTTGGAAGTCGCTCACCAGGCCTTTCTTCCAAGGTACCTCTGGGTGGAAGCAAACCTCTAATCTTTCAGTTGGCAGCTGAGTGCCCTAACCCTCTGCACCACACAGGGACTCCTTGACTATGTGAAACTACCTAAAAACAAGAACTCTTATGGTGGGAATGAGTCCCACCCCACCCCAGGTTGCTGAATCTACTCTGGCTTCAGAAGGTTTCACAAGTCTCTTAATTTTGAAGAAGAAACTAAAATGATCTTGTCAAAGCCAATCAAAGCTATCAAGAGCCACACAAAAGCTGCCTCTCAGCATTCCATAACTCCATAGCTACATCCAGGGCTTCCCTGGCAGGATTCTAATGTGAGCGTCAGCATTTCGTATGAAAGTTGTGTTGCTTTTGGGACCTTAAAGATGGCCACCTCCACCTTGCCATACATCTCTGGCATCTGTTACCACTGCCCGAGTATAAGGCCCTCTCATCACCAGTATTCCCACCTCTGCACTGAGCTACTCATGGATTTGCACGTTGCTGACTTTCCCATACCCCAGAGATTTTACCTAGCTCCCTGTCGTGAACACTTCCCTTTGAAACTGGCTACCTCCTACTCCTCCTTCAAGAGAATATATCCAGCTCAGGAGGGACACCTTCCTGACCTGAATCCCGACCTACCAGATGTTCCCGTAGCCCCTGGAGCGCACCCCTCCACAGAGCTGAGCCCCTGCATCGGACTATACTCACTTGCCCACCACTTCCACTCCACCAGCGTTGTGAGTGTGGGCCCCAGGCTGGCAGCAACAGCATCACCTGGGAACTTAGTGAAAATGCATGTTCCAAGGCCTCATTCTGGCTCCACCAAATCAGAAGCTGGGGAATGGGGCCCAGTCATCTGTGTTTTTTTACAGAAAACACAGGGGTCTGTGATGTCCACTGAAGTTGGAGACCCACTTCTCAAGACTCCTCATGGGTGGAGCCAAGCGTTATTCCTCTCTGTACCCGCAATGCCTAGCATAGTCTCTGGCACACGCTAAGAGCAAACAAAATATATTTTTAATTGAAAAAAAAAATGCATGTGACAAAGCATATAACAGATTTTGTTTCTCTCCAAATGTGTGTGAGGGTATCCACTTTGCGGGTCTGCGAGGCCATCCACTCCCGGACTCAGACTCCAGAGACCATCACCCCATTCTCTGATGTTTCCAGCAGTGCCCAGCACCCCATATCCCAATCATTCCTGCCCATACTGATCCCTTCTAGGGAAGGCAGCGACAAGAGGACTGCAAGAGAAACTGAGGGGCGATTTCAGAGTGCCGCAGAACCCTTGAATTCCTCATAGCATTGGAAGGTTTCCACCTTCTGTGAAGTCAAGAACTTCCAACCTCTTCACTAAGAACCACCTCACTTCCAAACGAGAGTGAGGTCAACGTTTGCCAATACAGGAGTTCTACGCTGCTACAGAAGTTAAGATGTTATCACAAAGTACTGTAAAGGGGGACTTCTGTAAACGGTGGGTGGTTCTCCTAAAACAAAGCCAAAGCAAAAAGAACTAAAATGCTTGCTGCAGTTATCATACTGTGGGCATTTTTTTGGATATAATAGTCCAGTGGCAGTATTAAAGATTCTCTGGGTGGTGCAAATGGCTAAGCACTGAACTAATCAAAAGGTTGGACGTTCAAACCCAGCCAAAGGCACCTAGGAAGTAAAGCCTGGAGATCTGCTTCTGAAAGGTCACAGCCTTGAAAACCCTATGGAGCAGTTCTACTCTGCACACATGGCGTCGCCATGAGTCATAATCAACTCAAAGGCAACTAACAACAAGGCGGTATTTTAACACATTGTTTATTAAATGTTGAGCAAGAGAAACTATTTTAAGTTATCCTTCTAATGAGTAGTTTTCTTTTCACATCATATTTATCAGCTTTGAATCCTGAAGTAATGAGAGTTATCCCCCAAAACATCCTGTAGCTATTAAGAAGGTCCAGCTAAATCAGAGACTCATTGAAGAGGCTTATCTTATCAGGTACAAAATACCCAGATGGCACAGTGTATTTCTTCTAAATGTTCTATTCGTCACTATAAACAACTGACAAATCCACAAAAACTTCTCAGACCCTCCAAACCTCACACTTCCAGGGATGTAGAGACAAATCGTTCCTTGATGTTGTCAAATTAAAAGCAGTAACTATTAGTCATGCTAAACCACCCCATCCTTGGAATTGAAACAAGATGATTTTCAACCCCTACTCCACCACTCTATATCTAATGATTATCATAAACCCAAAACTGTTTCCACCAAAAACATTAAACATAAGAATCTCACAATTTTTTTTTAAAGAAAGGAAACAAAAATATCGAATAGTAGAGGACCAGGGAAAAATATTTCCCAAATTGGATTTATAAACTTGAAAGTTGCTTTGAGATTTCACAAACATCCACCAGGAGCAATGAAGTTCACAACTCTGAGTGGACAGTGTGAGCTCCAGCTAGAAGAGGCAGAGGAACAAGGTCCACGCATCAGCTCTAAGTCAGTCTACAGAAAAACTCCACAATACAGAACTCACATGATACGGACGTGACTTGCATCTTAACACAAATTTTATATTGTAATCAACGCTAGACATTAATTACAAGTCTCCAAACAATTACTTTCTGGCATATCTTTAAAATTAGTTTTTACCTCTTTCCACATAATGGTATGCCACATACCATTTCTTAACACTGAAAAAGAAAAAACAAAGTATTGGTTATTATTGGTGATAATCAAAATAAAATCAGTTCTCCAAAATCCAAAAGGTTCCTTTTAAAACTGTTTATTAATTCTAATATGCTATATCAACAAAGTCCATATTTTGATATAGAGGTTATCTCAGTCATCTAGTGCTACTACAACAGAAATACCACAAGTGGGTAGCTTTCACAAAGAGAAATTTATTTCTTCACAGTAAAGTAGGCTAAAAGTCCAAATTCAGGGTGTCAGCTCCAGGGGAAGGCTTTCTCTCTGTCGGCCTTCTCATCAATGTTCCCCCAGACTAGGAGCTTCTCTGGGCAGGGACCCCGGGTCCAAAGGACACACTCTGCTCCTGGCACTGCTTTCTTGGTGGCATGAGGTCCGCCTGTCACTCTGCTCACCTCAGTCTTTTATATCTCAAGAGATTGCCTCAGACGCAATCCAATCCTGTAGACTGAGTCCTGCCTCACTAACACAACTTCAGCCCATCCTCCCTCATTAACATCATAAAGGCAGGAATTACAATGTATAGGAAAATCACACAATACTGGGAACCATGGCCCAGCCAGACTGATACACATATTTTTGGGGGGACATAATTCAATCCATGACAGAGGCATAATGCCTTCTCCCCCCAAAAATGGAGCCCTAATGTATGTATCTACGTAACATATATACATTAACACATACACATAAGTAAATATGCCCATATATATGTTAAATCTATTCATGTTCAGTACAGGAGAAAGAAAAAATAAATAAGCCTACTGCTGCAAGATTAAAACCATACAAACCAGAGCTGATGTTCTACAAAGCAATACAATGAAAAGTGGGTCGAGGGAGGGAAGGAGAGATTACAAACCAAGGACATGCAGGCCAGGAACTTTTTAAAAGCTGTCTATTTCCTGAAAATTACATTTTCTAAAATTCTAAAGTGCCCAAATCCTGTTCAAATCTTAGTTACCAGGACTAACGTTTTGTTTAATGTGTTTGTCATTTTCCTCCTCCATTAAAATATTTTATAAATAATTTTTCCAATTTATCTCAATATCATTAACTACTTGTTCCTTAAAATTCCTTAAGTATAGACCTTATTCTTAAGGGATTCAGCCTGGTACCTTACCTATTGTTTTCTTTTTGTTAACTGCATTGTCAGCCTTATGTCGCTTCTGTCACAGAAAGAAAAAAAGTTCTTAGAGTCAAAAGTTACAAATGAATAACTGAAATAGCAAACAGTAAGATCAGGAAATTAAAGCAGGGGCAGGGAAACTAACTGCCAACAACACGAATTCAGTTCAACAGTTTTGTGATCTAGCACACACTAGATTTAGATGCGGTCTATGCTACTTCAAATGATTATATTCTGGGTCTAGCAATTATCAAGCACTTTGAAGCATAAACTTCTCCCTCCTCATTTGCTTTAAATCAGAGTAAAAGAATTACTAAGGATGATAATCCAAACAGCAAGCAACGTAATTTATTTTACTGATAAAGTACCTTTGTTCAAAGTACCTTTGTTTCGATATGTATTACATTTATTTACCTATTCCCAGAAGGGTATGTGTGTGTGTGTGTGAAGGCCAGAGAAAAGAAAGATAGAGAGAGAACACAGAGAGAGAAGTAAAGAGGAAGAGAGAATATTGTAGCCAATGAAGTTGGAACTCTATTTTCTGGAATAAGTGTGAGGAGGAAAAAGAGTCTTATAAAATGACCTCAGACACAATACTGCTATGCTAGACAGAACTACAACCCTTCATTTGTTTCTCATATTAGCAAGTTCTGAAGTGAGATGTAAGGAACATCAAAGGGGGTGCTGAGACCTAACATTTGAAAACATAGTTTGAACTACTGTGCCACTGTATATGTGTTTAAGACACTTTGTATATACACTCCTTCTCAAAAAATACCATCATGAGTTTTCAGTGGCTGGTTACACTACAGCCCAATTTCCTGTGATAAACATGTAATACAAAGCAATAAATAAGATATATTCAATATAATGGTTTTACTAGCCAGACAAAAACTTACAAAATCTTCTACAATCTCTTTGATGCCTGCGATTGTTAAAATAATGATCAATGGCACCAGGGTGGTATATCTTCCTGTTGGAGATACATCTGGAATTTGCTGCAAGGTAAGAGACCAAAAGAGAAGTTGGTACATTAAAATCCTCTCCACAATGAAGAAATTATTATTTTTTGCAGTTCTGTTCTATTTGTTACACAAAAATTACTACCTTAATTTTAAAACTAGCTATGCATTTGACTTTTATTTTTTTAAGCCAACATTACTACGTGTTTGGAACAAGAAAGGGTGAAAGGTATGACTCTAGAGCCATTTGGTCAGTGCCTCTTTTAGCAACTGCAATTGTCCCGGAGGCAGTACCAAGATCATTTCTGTTCACTCTGTCACACAATGGATGGAGGAAGGAAATAAACTACAGTCAGATATTGTAACAATTTTCAGTTAGGTGCCTTTTAGCAAAATCTTATTTTGCATGTAATTAAGGTTCCAAATTTTACATAATTTTTTAAAATTACCTGTAATAAGGCAATGAAGAGGAAGAAGGCATTAGCAGCTCTTCTAATCTGCTCATACAAGAATCGAGGTAGAAATGTCAACACGCTGTACTTGGCCGTACTACAAGGATAAAGAGAAATACGACTATCAGCTAATGATGTAAACTCTAAAAACAAGAACAAAACAAAGTTTCAAAAACGTTTTTTAATTGTACACGTATATGTATATATATAACAGAATTTTTGCCAATTCAACATTTTTTACATGTACAATTCAGTGACAGTGATTACATTCATCATGTTGTACAACTATCACTACCATCAGTTTTCAAATTATTTTACCATTAAACATGTAATACAAACTAATAAATAAGAAACTCAACGTCCCCTAAGCAATGACTCCTCTTTTCCTCTTCTTCCCAGCCCCTGGTAACCACAAATAAATTTCATACAAGTTGGATCATACAATATTTGGCCTTTTGTGACTGACTTGTTTCACTCAGAATCATGTTTTCAAGATCCATCCATGGCATGGCAGGTATCAGGACTTCATTTCACTTTACGGCTGAATAACATTCCATTGTATGTACATACCACATTTTGTTTATCCATGCAACTGCTGATGGACATTTAGGTTGTTTCCACCTTTTGGCTATTGTGAATAGTGCTGTAATGAACACTGGTGTCCAAGTTTCTGTTTGTGTCCCTGCTTTCAATTCTTTTGAGTGTATATATACCTAGGATTGGGACAAGTAACTTTAATAACAAAATGTTCCAAAACTCAGGACAAACTGGCATGCTGACTCTCTGGTACACAGGTGTTATTTTGTAAAAGGACAACCTGATAAGAAAATTTTCTAACATGATCTTTGTTTCAAACTTTGGTATACATGTGTTCATTTAATTTTCAAACATTATAAGCTGGAAAATGTCCCCACCTTCTAGGAGCTATGTGCTACGTATATAGTAAGCATGTAAAGAATGTTTGTTAAAAAAAAAAAAAAAAGATAATATTTCAAGACTCACAAAACATAAAGTGGTACATGTTCCAAATATGAATGCATCAACTGAGTAACTCACATGAGCAAAGTAGAAGAAACATTCCAGAATTTTTGGCACTGTAGTTCTTATTAGGTAACCACTGGACTCAGTGTAGAGTCAACTCTACAAAGCATGGCCCATGTGAATCATAGTTCAATATGTCCCTCTGGACACCCACCATGGATATTTTATGTTTCAACCACACCTGAGCAAATTCCACTCCTTCGACATACCCTTTATTTCGCCACCTTTGCTCACACTTTTGCTTCCACCTGGGACATATTCTCCCTTCTGCTCTGTCTCTCCTGGGTAAACTCTCCTTCCTAACTTACTGTCCCATCAAGCCTCATATTTTCCATCAAGTTTAATTGAGTTTATAGTAAGTGTGTTTCTGGAGGTGTAATGGTTAAGCATTTGGCTGCTAACCAAAAGATCAGCTGTTTGAACACATCAGCCGCTCCATGGGAGAAAAGACCTGGTGATCTGTTCCCATAAGGATTATAGCCTAGAAAACCCTTTGTTCTACCAGTTCTACTCTGTCACATGGGGTTGCTATGAGTTGGAACTGACTTGACAGCACACAGCAACAACATTCTTCCTCTAAGCCCACAGTATGGAATTTACACCTATATCATGGTCTATGCTTTGCCTTATATTTATTTACCTATATCCAGAGTAGATTATGGGAACAGCAAGAATGGTTACTTCAGAGAGGTGGGGCCAAGATGCCGTCTCTCTTACAACAAAGACACAAAAAAACAAGTAAATCAATTATATATGACAATCTAGGAGCCCTGATTATCAAAGACAAAATTGAAGAGTCAGACTGAGTGGCAAGGGGAAGAAGAGACAATTCAAAAGCAGCGAAGTAGTGCCAGTCATGAGGTTGCTGGCACCCTGCTGGCTGGGTTGGCTGGCAAACATGGGCTGAAGCAAGCAGTTCAGGATGTGTCTCACCACATCGGGAGAGGCCAAGCGGCCGAGAGTCTGTACAAGCCTAGGGAGCCCAGCGGAAGCAGTGCTGGACCTGCGAAAGTTAAGTGCAAGCGCGGAACCTACCACGTGGGGTCAAAATAACCCCTCCTCCTCCAGGACTTTCGCAGTGGAGAAGTGCCTCTTTCTCCTCACCCACCACCCACCCCGCTCCACTACAACACCTGTCTGGCAGTATTCAACAACTGCCAAGCCCCCTAAGATGGAACTCAGGGCTATCTGTGCCTAAACCAGTCTCAAGGCTTAACAAAATGCCACGGGACCTAAGCCGGGAACTCAGGGCAGGCCCTGCACCTTTGCCTAGGCACTGGCATAAGGGGTCCATGGAGTTGTAGCACCCTTCATCCCTGCCTAGACCTGTGTGGGCTGATTCAACACCACATGCCTTCATTAGCATAAGACAACACAGCATACACCTGAGGCCTATTTTCAACTTTGTGCTGAAGGTCCTAGCCAGAGCAATAAGGCAAGAAAAAGAAATAAAGGGCATCCAAATTGGTAAGGAAGAAGTAAAAGAATCCCTATTCACAGATGATATGATCTTATTCACAGAAAACCCCAAAGAATCAACAAGGAAACCACTGGAAGTAATAGAAGATTTCAGCAAAGTATCAGGATATGAGATAAACATACAAAAATCAGTTGGATTCCTCTACACCAACAAAGAGAACTTTGAAAAGAAAATCGCCAAATCAATATCATTTACAATAGCCCCCAAGAAGATAAAGTACTTAGGCATAAACCTAACCAGAGACGTAAAAGACCTATACAAAGAAAGCTACAAAACACTACTGCAGGAAACCAAAAGAGACCTGCTTAAGTGGAAAACATACCTTGCTCATGGATAGGAAGACTCAACATTGTGAAAATTCAGCTCTACCCAAAGCCATATACAGTTAAATTCTGATCCAAATTCCAACAGCATTTTTTAATGAGATGGAAAAACAAATCACCAACTTCATATGGAAAAGGAAGAGGCTCAGGATAAATAAAGCATTACTGAAGAAGAACAAGGTGGGAGGTCTCACACTTCCTGATTTTTAGAACCTATTATACCACCATGGTAGTCAAAACAGCTTAGAACTGGTACAACAACAGACACATAGACCAATGGAACAGAACTGAGAACCTAGATGTAAATCCATCCACCTATGAGCAGCTGATATTTGACAAAGGCCCAAAGTCCATTAAATGGGGAAATGATAGTCTCTTTAAAATGGTGCTGGCATAACTGGATATCCATCTGGAAAAAAATGAAACAGGACCCATACCTCATACCATGCACAAAAACTAACTCAAAATGGATCAAAGACCTAAATACAAAATTTTAAGTGATAAAGATCATGGAAGAAAAAGTAGGGACAATGCTAGAAGCCCTAATGTATGGCATAAATAGTACACAAATCATAACTAACAATGCACAAATACCAGAAGAGAAACTAGGTAACTGGGAGCTCCTAAAAATCAAACACTTACTCTCATTAAAAGACCACCAAAAGAGTAAAAAGAGAACCTACTGACTGGGAAAAAAATTTTGGCTACAACATATCCAATAAGGGTCTAATCCCTAAAATCTACAAGATACTGAAACACCTCAACCACAAAAAGACAAATAACCCAATTGAAAAATGGGCAAAGGATATGAACAGACACCTCACCAAAGAAGACATTCAGGCAGCTAACAGACACATAAGAAAATGCTCACAGTCATCAGCCATTAGAGAAATGCAAATCAAAAGTACAATGAGATACCATCTTACCCCAACAAGGCTGGCACTAATCCAAAAAACACAAAATAATAAACGTTGGAGAGGTTGTGAAGAGACTGGACCACTTATGCACTGCTGGTTGGAATGTAAAATGTTACAACCACTTTGGAAATTGATTTGGCGCTTCCTTAAAAAGCTAGAAACAGAAGTATCATAAGGATCCAGCAATCCCACTCCTAGGAATACATCCTAGAGAAATAAGAGCCGCCACACAACTATGCATATGCACACCTATGTTCACTGCAGCATTGTTCACAATAGGAAAAAAATGGAAACAACCTAGGTGCCCATCAATGGACAAATGGATAAACAAATTATGGTACATATACACAATGGAATATTATCCAATGATAAAGAACAATGAGGAGTCCGTGAAACATCTCACGACATGGATGAATCTGGAGGGCATTATGCTGAGTGAAATTAGTCAGTCATAAAAGGACAAATATATGTATGAGACCACTATTAGAAGAACTCAAGAAAAGGTTTAAACACAGAAAAAAGCATTCTTTGATGGTTACGAGGGTGGGGAGGGAGGAGAAAGGGGATTCAGTAACTAGATAGTAGACGAGGATCAATGTCTGTGAAGGGAAGGACGACACACAATACAGGGGAAGTCAGCACAACTGGACCAAAACAAAAGCTAAGAAGTTTACTGGACACATCCAAACACTTGGAGGGACAGAGTAGCTGGGGCTGGGGCCTTGGGACCATAATTTTGGGGGACATCTAGGTCAACTGGCATAACGAAGTTTATTAAGAAAACGTTCTGCATCCCACTTTGGTCTGGGGTCTTAAAAGCTCGCAAGCGGCCATGGAAGATGCATCACTTGGTCCCATCCCACTTGGAGCAAAGGAGAATGATGAACACCAAAAACACAAGGAAAATATTAGCCCAAGAGACTAAAAGTCCACTTAAACCAGGGACTCCATCAGCCTGTGACCAGAAGAACTAGATGGTGCCCGACTACCACCAATGACCGCCCTGGCAGGGAATACAACAGAGAGTCCTGGATGGAGCAGGAGAAAAGTGTGGAGCAGAAGTCAAATTCATGTAAAAAGACCAGACTTAACAGTCTGACGGAGACTGGAGGAACCCCTGAAACTATGGCCCCTGGACGCTCTGTTAACCCAGAACTGAAACCATCCCAAAGCCCACTCTTCAGACAAAGATTAGACAGGACTATAAAACAAAAAAAAAATACACTTGAGGAATGTGTTTCTTCATTCAGTCAGATAGACGAGACCAAAGGGGCGGCTCCTGTCCGCAGGCAGGATGGGAAGGCAGCAAGAAACAGGAACTGGCTGAAGGGACACA